CAGCTCCCCCCTGTCTCCTCCACCTGTGGTGTACTCAACCCTCAGCCTCCTATGGCAGGTGTCTATTCCAGGGTCCCCAGTTCTGTCATTCCCTGTCCCTTTACTATGCTTTTTCTTTTCCACAGCACTTTCCGCCACCTAAAACTACACAATCATTTTATCTACTTATTCGTTATCTGTCTTCCCCAATGAGCATGATAAAGCCCGTCTCTGCCCTGGTTCTATAACCCCATGGCCTGTAGCCCATTACTACCCCAGCAGGGTTATACTGCCCATGGGGACTGCTGCCACCATCCAAGGTTCTGGCAACATTTCTTTTAAACATTTGGATGGCCTGTGCCGTGCGGCTCATCCTTTAGCACCAGCAGTTAAGTGTTGATTTCAGTTTTTAGAAAACTCTGCGTGCAAATATTTAACAGTAGCAGAAAGGAAGACAGCAGAGACATTTTCTCCAGAAATATATCAACCCACACCCAGCTTTCCACAGTCCTAAGAGCCAATCACCTTCCCCAATAAATATTTAAATGTGTATTTTCTATTATGGATTATATTTTTGAAATGGTTGCTGGCGACAGATACATTTTAGTTTATTCCTAATAGTGGGTAATTTCAACTGCCTTCCCCTTTTATTATACAGACCATGAAAGAATATGCTACAATCATGCCTTCAAAATTATCGTCAGAGTTTTGAGTCTTAATCTCTCTAGTTTGAGCATTTCGTTTTTCATCAGTCCAACAGATGGAAAGTCCTTTCAGACATATAAAAACACTGCCACAAAATGGCCCCTGGTTCTGCAACATGGGCCCCGAGATGAATAAAATACCTCTTGGGGAGAAATGCTTTCTAACTCAGTAGTCCCCAAAGCATGTCCTCTTCAGGGGAAGATGTCCTTCCAGAGTGAGCGGGAGCTGACTCAGTCCGGACATTACTTAACACTAAGGTTGCCCCGAAGGAATAAGATGCACTCACAGCACAGGGGCCCTATGAGTAGACTGCCGGCATGTCCCAGAGGAGGCAGTTTCCGCAGAATTACTAAGTCTGGGATCAGTCGTTCTTACTGCTGAGGTGTAGACTTTGTTAAAAATGTGTTTAAGTCAATCCTTTTCCACCAGTACCATGGAATACCATTCAAATATCGTAATTCATGTTTTAAAAGAATATTTGATGACAGAAAATTAAGTAAAGAAAATGAGAGTGTAAAGCAACCTAAAACAACACTCCTATTTTCTTGTAGGAAGAAGTATCTACCTGAAAATACTTTGAAGGGAAGGCTGAGGGCTAGAATTTTAATTGAGCATGCCTTTTGATAATAGTGTTTTTACTGGCTTTGGTTTGGATGTCTTGATGTTTTTCAGATTTTTTACAGCAGTCATGTATTCTTTCTTTTCTTTTTTTTTGAGTGAGTTGGAGTCTCACTCCATTGCCCAGGCTGGAGGGCAGTGGCATGCTCACAGCCACCCCAGCATCAACCTTCTGAGTTCTGGCGATCCTTCTGCCTCAGCCTTCTAAGTAGCCAGAACTACAGGCAAGCGCTACCACACTTGGCTAATTTTTTATTTTATTATAGAGATGAAGTCATGCCAAGCTGCCTGGGCTGGTCTCAAACCCACGGACTCAGGCAATCCACTCTCCTCAGCCTCCCAAAGTACTGGGATTACAGACTGAGCCACCAAGCCCGGCCAGTCATGTATTCTTTTTATGACTTGGGCAACCCTGTCCCTGTTACCTATTTCACTATGTTTAAACTTGAAGGTCCAGGTTCTCCAGGGAAAGGAGCCCCCCTGTTTTCTGCAGTGTTTCCAAGGGGGCATGGTGGTGCACTCTGGGAGACGGGAAGAGGAAGAAGAAAATGTGCAAAGTAAGTGACTTTTACTGCTGGGTTTCGATTTTTTTCCTCCTCTCCTGGAAGGTATTTTTATAGGGCAGGGGATTTAAAGTCAGCCTCTCTTCATATAGCTGTGGCTTTACCACTGAATGCCTCCTTATGTCTGCCTGGTAGATTAGCTTTATGGGAGCCCACAGCCCACCCCCTCGTCTAGAATTTCCTTGGGATCCATTGTTGCATGTCGGAGGCTGGGAGATTGCTTCACCTGACACTGAGTCTCATGGGGCTCTGTCTGCTCTTTATAAGAGGAAAGTATCAGTGGATCTTCTATTATAAATCATGAGATTTTTGTAGGCCAATATCCAGAAAAAGAAATCTTAGCTTTAAGCCTTTTAGAATATGCCTGTTATAGGACTTGGAAAAATGTGTTTTTTTACATTGTGAACTTTTGGCAACCTGCTTCTAACTCCAAAGGGATTTTCCTTCGGGGATGGGAATAGGACCAGATGCCTCACAGCCCAGCAGGATTCCATGCCACAGGGCTCAGCCCACTGGTCCCTTAAGTCCCTGGGACGTGGTGGCTGCTGTCCTGACAGCACTACAGGGACCAGGGAGGGCCTCTTTCCTTCACTATCTCACTTGGTTACTGTGTGCCGCTGGCGCCCCCTGCAGGCGAGTGGAGGCTGTACTGTGTGCGAGGAGAAGTGCCGATGGAGGGGAATTTGCTGGAAGTGGCCTGTCACTGCAGCAGCCTGAGGTCCAGGACTTCCATGGTGGTGCTCAACGTCAATAAGGCCCTCATTTACCTGTGGCACGGGTGCAAAGCTCAAGCCCACACGAAGGAGGTTGGAAGGACCGCCGCAAATAAGATCAAGGAACAGTGAGTGCTGTGTGTCTGTGACAAGCTGTCCACAGAAAGGCCTTCCCAAGGGATGTGAGCAGACGGAGGCGGGACAGGCTCCCCACACCCCCAGATGCCTGTTGCGCCAAAGCGACTGCCACAGGGATGGCTGTGAATGTGGCCAGGGACACTGACATTCCGAGTAGCCGGGACACACGTCTCAGCCCAGACCTCCAACTGGGGGGCTTCTCCCACTTTCTGGGGGCTTACCTACCTCAGCAAGAGGCCGCGTAAGGGGTGAGGAAAATGACCCTTGCAGGCAGTTTCAGTTCTTCCTTCATCATTGCGGTTCAGCTTTTGAATTATAAGCCTCGAGTCCTTCATCGTATAAAGAAAGCAGATGTCAAATCGCTTTTAGGGGTTCAGAGTTTGGTTTTTTCAGAACAGTGGTGTGTTTAGAAGCCACCAGAGTTTGGGAAACCACCATCTGTCTTAAGCTGTGAGACATCCCCTTTGAAAGAATGACTGTGTCCCCATCCTTGAGGGCAGCCACCCAATGGTGCCTCATGGGGCTCCCAGGGTGATTCTGGGCTCAGCATTCCCATTGTTACATTGTGTTTCTGTCCCAGGCAGTCACCTGTGGCTGGCCACTCACAGAGATGGCGCACTAGGAGTTAGCACTGAGTGAGGCCCTTGAGAAAGAAGGAACACTAAGGGAGGATATGGTGATGGCCGGTCCCCAGCTGGCATGGGCTGCCGCCATGGCTCTGAGCTTCCTAGTAGCCCTAGTAGCCTGTGCAAAACAGGCATCACAAGCAGCCAGAGAGAGTCCAGTGTCACCCAGTCACTTGAGGGGGGGGTGCCTGTGACCTGCAAGGACCTTAGCAACTTCCTCACAGTAAAAATGAACAGCTGCCTAGGGTCACAACCTACCATCAAAGTGCAATTTGGTGCAATCTATTCTCTGGGCACTCCATTCTCTGACCTCTCCACAGTGAAACAGAAGGAAACAAGATGTTTATCTCAAACACTACCTGTGGGTGACGGAGGAGGGAGGGGTGACATGACGTTCAGTGGGCGTCCCAAGCATTCACAGCCCATCAGACTATCCATTTGGGCCACAGAGGGACAACAGAACCGTAAAGAACTCATTCATTCCACAGACATTTACTGAGCACCTGTTGGGTCTCAGCACAGATGGAGGGACTTGGCAGTGAATAAACCCAAGTCTCTGTCCTTATGAAGCTTATGTTCTAGCAGAAAGAAGGATAAGAAATCATGGTTATATTGTTGTATATAAAAATATGTATGATTTTTATGACATCATACATTCCTCCCTAGGGTCAAGCTACCCCTCCCAACCACACACACAAACTATAGAGTGTTTTTTTAAATTCATGAATGACAACTGCTTTTAGTTAGAAAGTAGAAGAGACAGTGAACTGATCTGTAATTTAGTTCTGAATAATTACATATGTCACCCTCGGGGCTTATGAAAGGGACCGGCGTTTCTCCACAGGTGCCCCCTGGAGGCAGGACTGCACAGCAGCAGCAAAGTGACCATACATGAGTGTGATGAGGGGTCCGAGCCACTGGGGTTCTGGGATGCTCTGGGAAGGAGAGACAGGAAAGCCTATGACTGCATGCTTCAAGGTAACGTGACACTCCGTACCCTCTGGTCATTATTATTATATTATTTTGAAACTTATTAATTTATTCAGTATTTATTGAGCATGTCCTGAGCAACCCACAGTGAATTAAACCTAGGCTGTGTTTTCATGGGCCTACCATCTGACGAGGAGGTTCAGTAATATGTATGACTAATCATAACGCAAAATAAAAGTTACTTGGCATAAGTAACTGGTGAAGGAGGTTGAGTGTTAAAGAGAAAACAAAAGATGAGTTTCACCAGGAAAAGTCACCCACAGCTCCAGGGAATGGGTGGCATTTGCATGTGCCTTGGAGGTTGGTATGCTTAAAGAAAAGAAAAATTCCTGAAGTGGAAGAGCAGTGGCACAAGGTGAACCTGGCTATCTGGTGGGCCAGTGCCCTGGGTATGGTGGTGGCTCAGATGAGAGAGTCATCAGGATCAGGTCGGGGGCCTCAAATGGGAGGCCAGATATGCTGGGACTGTGATAGTGTCCATGGTCAGCTAGAGGTGACAAATGTGGATAGCCCAGCTGGGGAAAGAGGGGTTCCGTGCTCAGGAGGACACACACTCCCTTGTGTGGGGGACAGCGTGGCTACTCCCTGAGCTGGCTTTCTTTTTCCTGCTCCTGGTATTCTAAGTCAGTCAAGGCCTTCCCTTCTCCCAAGATACCTAAATCCTACATATGTTTCTTCTGGTTCTTTATTTCATGTTTCATCTTAATACCTCCGTCTGTCTGGAATTGAGCTTGATAAGTGTTGTGTTCTGCCAATGGGCCAGTTTTTTTCTTCCAAGGAGCTAGCTTAACCTGGGCCCTGAGACTTCAGGTGCCCATGGGTGGTTTAGCTCACAGAGTCTTGGGGAAAGATACTACCCTGCAGGGTCTTTGGAACTCAGACTACCACTTCACCACCTTCCTAGTTGTGGCCGCCTAGCAAAACTGTGGTTCTCTGGGTTTGGGGGTGGGAGCCAGGGAAGGAAATGACCCCTTAACTTATTTCCAGAGTTATTAACTTGTCTAGAAGGACACTGGTCAGTGCTGTACCAAATAGGCATCCCCATTCACTAAGCAAAGTTTAGTGTGAAACACATGCTTTCCTGTCTTTCTTCAGATACAGATTAACATAGGTAAAGCAAACTTTTAATCAGTTCTGATAAGCCAAGCACTCTTTCAGCACCTTATATACAGAAGATGCCAAAACAAAAAACTATGCACATTTTAAGAAAGGAAAAAATTGTACTAAAATTGTAATACTCAATAAGACGAATGCAAGTCATGTTTGACTTCTGCAGTTACAAGGGGTAACTCAAAGTGGTTACCATCAGCATCCAGACACTTCTGATTACAGCAAATATCTCTTAACATCACTTAAAGTGTGTGTACATTTTTTTGGCACCCCTGGTATATCGACTTCATGAGTATAACCCAACACTCTCCCATCTTTACAGAAGAGGAAAGAGGCACAGAAAAGTTAATCAACTTGCCTGAGGTTGGACAGCAATGGAGTGTCCTTCCTCATAACCACTCCATTCTGCCTCTCAATTTTCTTAAATTCTTATGTAGCTTTTTAAACATCACAGCTATTGAGGATAGAAAATGTTTGAAATTACAGAAAAGTGCAAAAATAAGTTGCTTATAACCACACTTCTCAGAGGTAACCAGAATTCACATTTCTCCATGCTATACATAATATCTATTTTTGAAAATAAAAGTTGAACCTACTGTTTTATAACCAACCTTTTCTCTTTATTATGAATACTTTCCCAAGTTGTTCATATTTAGACTTTTAACGACTGCCAAGTATTCCGTGAATATTCCATGAATACGTGCCATTCTCTACCTCACAGTCTCCTACAGTTTGGGGAGCTGAGTTGTTTCCAATTTTTCTCTATTACATAATAATGCAGTTGGAATTTTTTTTTAAAGTGTACATTAGGGATGTAAATGTCTTCCTAATTAAGGTTGATTCCTAGAGATGAAAATGCTGTACCAAAGTTACCACAGTCATACAGCATGTCCCTGTATGCCAACAAGTGTCCCCAGAACACTGTGCTGGGTTTTGTTCTCACTGCAGTGGCAGGGTTCACCTCCCAGCACAACCATAAACTCTGCACGTTGTCCGCCCCTCTTTGCCAACTTGATGTGGGAAACAGCTAAGCAGTGTTGTAGCTTAATTATTTAATTAGAATTACTGTTGAACACATTTTACATACACACATATGTATACATATTATATATACATATATGTATACATTTTTAGCAATTTGTATTTCTACTTTGGTCGATGCTCTATTTTTGCCTTTTGCACATTTGAGTTATTTATTTTTTCCTTTCCTTATTACAAATAATTTCTACTTGGTTACTTAACTTTTTTATTTCTAAAAGATTTGTTTTACGTTGTAGTTTTTGCACTGCAGCATTTCATTTACTGCTCAAGCCTCTTCCCTTTTGATTACGTCTTTTCCTATTGTAATTAAAAAGGCAATTCCCCCTCCAAGCTCAGATGAGTCCTACCTATGTTTCTTCTTATCCTTTGGACGATTTCATGTTTTACATTTGTTCTTCAGCCCATCTGGAATCTACCTTGAGGCATTTGGCGTCTTCAGCTTTTTTCTCTCTTCTTTCAAAGATCCTGGAAGCTTTAACTTCGCACCCCGCCTGTTCATCCTCAGCAGTTCCTCTGGAGACTTCTCGGCCACGGAGTTTGTGTATCCCGCGCGTGCCCCATCTGTGGTTAGCTCCATGCCCTTCCTGCAGGAGGACCTGTACAGCGCTCCCCAGCCAGGTGAGTCCCCCCGGGGCAGAAGACACATTCCACAAAGCCTTTTTATTTTCTGTCAGCATTGTGGTGCAGCTTCTGTTTCAAGCACACAAGGGGGGGGACCCAAAAAACCCCAGAATGTATTTATTAAAGAATGTGTTTTCTTACATCTTTATACTTCAGTCACCTTCAAAGTACTCTCCCTCTGATGGAATACATGTGTTGAGACACTCTTTCTATTGCTAAAAACTGTTTTTGAACTCGTCAATTTCGTTGCCTTTTAGTGCTTCTGGCATTTTTTGTTTTACCTCTTCCACATCAACAACACATTTTCCTTTGAGGACTTTTTTCATCTGAGGAAACAAACAAACAAAAAAAGGTGCTCCGGGTGATATCAGGTGAATAGGGAGGGTGGGGCACGGGGTCATGTGGTTTTTGGTCAAAAAGTGCTGAGCACTCACAGCACAATGGGGGCAGGGCACTGTTGTGGTGGAAGAACCAGTCACCTGTTTGCCACAGCTCTGGACGCTTCTTCCGCAAATCATGATGCAGCCTTCTCAAAACTTCCAGATAAAAACTTTGGTTGACCATTTGATCCAGAGGAACAAATTCCAAGTGTACTACAAGGGCCCACCCTCCGAAAGATAATTCTGTGTTTTTTTGAGTCCCTCCTTGTGTCTCACCTCACACCCAAGCCAGCTGGAAAGAACCAAGGCCAGCCCCACGCCATCAGATGTGGAACTGAGCCTCAGTTACTTAACTCTCCAAAGATGTCAGACTAGGCGGAGCACAGCAGTGCCAAACCTGGCGACTGCTGCTGTCCCAGCCTTCCTCTCAGTCGTGTTGCTTCATGGTCCCCAGCTGACGACCATTGCTCCAGCCATCATGTCTGTATTCAAGACAGAAAGAAAGGGGGAGAGAAAAAAGGCAGTGATAACCACAGCTCTCCATTTTATCAGATAAAGCAGAAATTTTTCCAGAAGCCCTAGCAGACTTCTGCTTGCATCCCCTTGGCCAGAGCTTGTCACATGCCCACCCAGCTGCAAGGGAGCCTGGGAAAACAAATGGCCAAGGAGAAGGGGGCTGGAGGATCGACCGAGTTAGCCCAAGACTAGTACTTGTCATAGTAAGGTGCCACGACAGAGCCAACACTCCAGCCCAGGTCTCCTGATCCCAGGGTAGGAACCATTTCCACCAGGCCACCGCCTCAGGACAGAAAGCTTTGTGCTCTCACTCTGGGCTGGATGGTCCCAGGAGCCTGGGCTTCACAGCCCCTCCCACCCTCCCTCCAGCAGGTCCAAGGTCAGCTCCTCTCAGTTTGTGTTTGTTCCTTCTCATGTTTCAAGAGCCTGGAGCTGTAGGCAGGGCCCTCCCCATGTTTGGGCATCCTGGTCACCATGTGAAGCTTGATTGGTGTGCATGTCACACTGCAGGAAATAAGAGAAGAGTAGGCCAGACATGGTGGATCATGCCTGTCATCCCAGCACTTTGGGAGGCTGAGGCAGGAGGATTGCTTGAGTCCAGGAGTTCAAGACCAGCCTGGATAACATCACGAGACCTCATCTATATAATAAAATTAAATTTTAAAATAGCCAGGCATGGTGGTATATACTTGTAGTCCCGGGTACTTGGGAGGCTGAAGTGAAAGGATTGCCTGAGTCCGGGAGGTTGAGGCTATGGTGAGCTGTGATTATGCCACTACACTCTAGCCTGAGCAACAGAGTGAGACCCTGACTCAAAAAAAAAAAAAAAAAAAAAAGGAAAGAAGGGGTGGGAACAGAAAGGAAAGAGGAAAGAAAAAGAAAAGAAATTAGTAATTGTCCAGAAAGGTCACTGCCCATCTACCTGCTTCACCCTGGGGCTCAGGACGGGTTAGCAACCTCCACTGGGCTTTTAACATGGGTGAGTTTCACAGAGCCCTCAAGTGCATATCAGGAAAGGATGGATACGCACATGGCGAACCGAGCTAGCAAGGTTCCCATTGCTACATGGAGTCAGAGTCAGGCTGACAGTTAAGGGGGAGAAAAAGTGAGGAGGTAGAGGGAGGATAATCATGATGTTTAAAGCCCATTTCTCTCTAGGAGAGCCCTGGAGGCACGCGCAGTCAGACTCAGGGCAGGGATGCCTGTGACCCCCAGGGCAAGCAAGACATGGCTCCAGTGCTTCTTATGCTCTCTGGAGATGTGTGGTGCTCACAGCTCCAAGAGCCGCCCATGCCCTGTCCTTTCTACTCCTAGCACAGCCCTGCAGCCCCCAGAGGGGGCACGGACAGGCCTGCTGACAGGGGAAGAGGACCTGGAGGCCACACGACTGACACCATCTCTCTCTGCCTGGAGGTTTCTCCCAACTGAACTTTCATCCGGCTGGGGTGTCCTAGGGACCCTCCGTTTGCTGCTGTGCCTCTGAATTTAACTGCCAAGTGGGCTTTCTGCTCTGACACAGCAGTGGATGGGGAGGACATCTAGTAGGGTTGGGGAGGAGCGAGTTGAAAGTCTCGGAAAGGAGCTCCTGATTGTCCGATTCTGTCCTCATCCCACAGCACTCTTCCTCGTTGACAATCACCATGAGGTGTACCTCTGGCAAGGCTGGTGGCCCATTGAGAACAAGATCACCGGATCCGCCCGCATCCGCTGGGCCTCTGACCGGAAGAGTGCCATGGAGACCGTCCTCCAGTACTGCAGAGGTGAGGCTGCCTCTGGGCACCCCCACAGCAGGAGGTGGGCAGGGGGAACTGTGGGTGCACCCAACCAACAGCCCTCGGGAACCCCAAACTCCCCTCCTTTTCTGCAGGTATGAGCCAGTGTTGAGGCAGCCTGAAGGCAGCGATGAAACAGATTTCTCCCATTAGTTTTTTGAGGGGTGTTAATTTTTCGAAGAGTACATTCTCGGCTGCCAGCATGAAGGAGAACTGGTTTATCCTCTCTAATATTATGCAGCCATCCAGCTTGTTACCTGCAAGGTGAAAGACTGCATTGTAGAATCCCTGGACAGTCTAGCACCCTATTACCCTCAGGATTAATCGTGCCAAGAGACAAGTTGGCCTTTGCCAGGCATGTGACCTGCAGGCAGTGCCATGCTGTTGGGAAGAGGGCTCCCAAGTTGGCTGAGAACCACTGCCAACCGGTGTATAATTTATTATTATTCATAGTGTTCGATCTAAAAAGAAAGACCCTTAGTCAGTTCATGCTGGTTTACTATACCATCCACCCGAAATTGGTGGTCTTTTATATAATATGAAGATGTCAGTAACTAATTTCTTATGGAATTTTTATGTTTCATTGATTTTTTTTTAGTTTAACATCACTGAGTGTGTACAATTGACTCTCTTCCTGTAAAATTCTTTAGTAATAAATGCCTTATTAAACATTCCACCCAATGTTATAGTCACCATGGACTTGCAAAATGCTGCCCTTAGCTGTCTGATCAATATTGAAATTAATCTTGCATTCGGAAGTCAGAGGAGTACTATTCCAGGGGGATGCCACAGGGAGAAGATGGCCCACCCAGAAGCCACAGAGAGGCCTCCTCCCTTCCAGGGAGCCAGAAGCGTTTTTTCGGGTTCAGGAAGTGTAGGCTTGAGTGTATGTTGCTGTTATAGGCCTAAAGAGAACATTTTGCATGAACATCATCCATTTATTGTTATGAACTATTCATCACTTACATTGTAAGCATGAAATTGAGGGTTCTGAGCAAAGAAGAAAAGATCTCAAGGGAAATCAGAGAAAGACAGGAGCCTTAAGTCCACCTGGGATCTACTGAGGCTGCATTCTGTGTGATTACAGGAAAAAACCTCAAGAAGCCGCCACCCAAGTCTTACCTCATCCATGCCGGCCTGGAACCCCTGACGTTCACCAACATGTTTCCCAGCTGGGAGCACAGAGAGGACATTGCTGAGATCACAGAGATGGTGAGCAGCTTGCCTGGCCTGTGAAGGGGCTGCTTACCTTTGAGATTAGGGGTTGACTTTACCTTGGGGAGAAACACCCTGCTGCACTTTCAAAGTGGGAAAATGTATTTTTTCTTTTGCAAAGTGTTAATAAGTCTACACCGAATTGAATTAGCTCAGAAAGAGGAGACGCCTAGTGGGAAATCAGTTGAGCTATTTCAGTAGTTTTCTACTCATGGTACACAATTTTTAAACACTGAAAAGCAAAGGCAAATTTAATTACTTTGAAGACTATATATAAACAGAAGCTCCCAACTCTTCATTCTGATGGCGAAACACCTACTGCTTGGCATTACTCCCTTCTCAGCGTCCGTATGAGGCACAACCAACTCCTTGTGTTTCAGACATTTGCCTTGTATAGGGGAGACACAAAATGATCTGTGATGAATTAATATGTCCAAATAACTGAATGAATGGATGTGTTGTGATACTTAATAAGTATTGCTCAACATGTCATTAATATTGTCTTCTATGAGTCCACCTGGTATTTCTGTATGAGGCATTTATCATCACTTCTATCTACCAAAATGTATTATCATCCAGAATGCCCTATTTTCCAACCACATAGAAAAGAAGCATACCATAGTTATATTGAGTTTCTTAATTTATGAGTTCTTAACTGCTAGCAAGGGCAGTTCCTGGGAATTTTTTGGTTTGGATGGAGATAGGTTTTTTTGTTTTGATTTTGTTGCTGTGTAGGAGAGCTGCTTTTCTGGGGAAATGACCTGAGTGCATTTTATAGGATATCTGATTAATTTTAAACAAACAAATGAAGTCCACTGTCGCGTAGCAGCGGAGGGAGGCTATTTGACAGAGCAAGCATCGCTGCCCGCCCTGACCTGGCTCCTGTTAGCCCAGTGGACTTGATCTACACAAGGCAGGGACTGACTGCTGCCTGGTCTCTCATACAGCCAGAGCGAGAGGGTTCTGTCCATGGTAAATACGGGATCAGGAAGCCTAAAGGCCTGGGGATTACCGGCACCACAGCTGCTGTACTCAGTCTCTGTCTGGGGATGGAAATCAACCTCGTTTTTCTGTATTCGCTATAGATCGCTGGGGCCCTGTGAACTGTTAACCACTGTGCTGGCCTGTGGGGTGTCACCAGAGCATCAGGCTTCTCACACAAGCCAGGCATGCTTGTAATTAACATTCACGTGGCTCCAAGCACTTTACACTTGTTTTCTTGTTCAATGATTATGCAGTCCATTATTATTATTATTTTACTGGTGTGGGTACAGAGGGACAAAGCAGGAAGTCACTTGCCCACTTTAGGGAGTGGAGGAGTCAGGGAGCCGGGGCTCAGACGCAGGCAGGCTCACTCACACCACCTCCTGACCGCCGTCTGTCGTGGGTGTTGCTGATATAGGTAACGACTCTGTCATTTCTTGGCTTCATCCACCCATCCAAAAGGAGGGCGAGATCCCAAGGTTCACAGAGGAAGGTACTTTGCCCAGAACAGTATGTTCAGACTAAATGTGCACAGGGGTTTAAAAAGTGAAAATAAAAGCTTGACTCTCCCCCAGAATATTCTAGATACATTTTCTTACCTTCGTGTATTGTAGTTTAAGAAGTGGGGCCAGGGGAGGGGAGGAGTATAATTTCTCGTAAGGTTAATTATTTTAAAACAAATTCCATATGTGTATCTTCTGGTGTTGAGACTTCAAATCCACCCATCTTGGTCCATAATTCACTCATGGGAGAATCCCTAAGCATTTTTTTCTGAGGCAGCTCTGCAACAGGTTTACTTGAAACTTGTGGTACAGTGAGAAAGCAGCTAAAAGTCCGGAGAGGCTGGGTAAAGTGGCTCCTGCCTGTAATCCCAGCACTTTGGGAGGCTGAGGCCCACTTGAGAACAGAAGTTCAAGACCAGCCTGGCAACATAGTAAGGCCCTGTCTCTACAAAAAATAAAATTTTTTTTTTATTTAGCTTGTAATTCCAGCACTTTGGGAGGCCGAGGTGAGTGGATTGCCTGAGCCCACGGGTTCGAGACCAGCCCGGGCAACTTGGTGAGACCTCATCTCTACAATATATAAAAAAATTAGGCAGGCGTGGTAGCACGCACTTGTCGTTCTGGCAACTTGGAAGGTTGAGGTGGAAGGATCTCCTGAGCCCAGCAGGTCAACACTGGAGTGGCCGTGAGCATGCGTGCCACTGCACCTCAGCCTGGGTGATGGAGTGAGACTCCAACTCAAAAAAAAAAAATTGTCTGGGCATGGTGGTACACATCTGTAGTCCCAGCTACTTGGCAGGCTGAGGCGGGAGGGTTGCAGTTAAGGCTACAGTGAGCTATGATCATGCCACTGCATTCCAGCCTGGGCAACAGAGTGAGACCCTGTCTGCAAAAATAACAAATGAATTTTAAAACGTCAAGAGGGCAGCGGGGCTCAGGCCACCCCTTTACCCTTCAGAGTCTCATTCCTCCTCAGTGATCCAGGGCTGTCCCTGCCGATGCAGGTGTGTGCAGACCACAGGGGGCTGTGGACCTACAAGCACCTGATGAAATGGGTTCAAGTGTGGGACATGAGTTCTCCTCTCTTCCCCTCCCCCACCCCAGGATACAGAAGTATCCAATCAGATCACCCTTGTGGAAGACGTCTTGGCCAAGCTGTGTAAGACCATTTACCCACTGGCCGACCTCCTGGCCAGGCCACTCCCAGAAGGCGTGGATCCCCTCAAACTCGAGCTCTATCTCACAGACGAGGACTTTGAGGTGAGTATCTGCTCGTGTGGTTTAGTCCTGAAAGGGCACGCTTGGTGCGAGAGTCCTTCCCTGAGCCGAGGTGTTTCTCTACATCTTCCAGTTCGCCCTCGACATGACCAGAGAAGAGTACCACGCGCTGCCCGCCTGGAAGCAGGTGAACCTGAAGAAGGCAAAAGGCCTGTTCTGAGGGGAGCAGGGCACCACGGCAGTCACGCCCAGGACCACGCTCCAGGGATGGATTTGTAGACTGGTATTTTTTTTTTTTTTAAGTATTTTTAACTCGGAGTTCTCAGAACCTGGCGTGAATAACTATCCCGCTTGTCCTGGAGTTGTGCATTCTGTAAATGTTTCAGAGAACTGTTGGAAAGCCCTCCACAACCCAGCAGGTGATATCGATGAATCACCTGTCATGGGCCCTTACATAGCGACCCCAGGCCCCAGCTGCGGCACTGCCCTCCAGCAAGGCATTGCCTTTTTGTTGTTGTTGAAGCAGTTCTCTTTATAAAGTGTTATTTTGATAGTTTGTGGATTCTAAAATATATATATATTTATATAAACACCATATAAGTCAAATATGTATTTAACAAAGCAATATGTATTCATTCACTTTTAAGAACCTTTTTTTTTTTTTGGTGTCAAAATAAGATGAACGGTAGATGGAGTTGCTTCTTGAGTTAGCTCTGCCATCAACATGCGCCTCACCCGCGTTCAGGAGCGCTCCCAGCAGTTAGGTCTGACTTGTTCTGAGTACTGCTTCCGGTGCTAAAATGAACAAAGAATCTATACTTTGCAGCATGGACTCTGAAGAATCTATGCGAATTAACCTTTCTACCTTAAAATCGCCCCAAAAATGTATAGTGCCTTGTTTTTATGTACAGTTTATATACAGAAAAGTTTGCTCTGCATTTTTGATGATGGTTCAGAACATTATCAACAATTTTACTCTCGAATAGTAAAAATAAAAACATCTCAATTTCTAATACCTGTCGTAAACATTACACATGTCATTTTGTGATAAAGGACTCCAAAATAAAAGCGTCAGAATGAACACAACAGTTAACTGATTGGTTCACATTGAATTGCAAGTATCTTCTTTTCTGGGAAAAAAAAAATTATATGTTAACCTAGTGCCGATATTTTGCCATTATGTACTAACTGGTGTAACTTTGAATTTAGTTTAGGGCAAGATTTTATACAAGATTATAAAATCTGTTCTCCGTACTATATTGAATTCATTTTTTTAAAAATCACCATTCAATAGGCGGTCTTTACCCTACAACTGTGACTACATTTCAATTTCAGGATCCCAATACCTTTTTTTAATAATAATAAAAAAAAGGATGTATAAGGCATCTGGAAAACTTTAAAATGAGTTAGGAAACTCCTCACAAGCTCAGATGTTCTTAAAATACCAAATCCTTGGTTTGAAATTTTCTACAGACGTCCTGAATCGTTAGCACGCTTTCCCCTGCTTCCTGATAGTGTATGGTGAACATACCCGATCCTGGCAGGTTTACCTGAAACTTTGGAACTCACTTCTGCTGCATCCTGGAGCGTCACGGGCCTCAGGACCTGTAACCACCACTTTATGGTTGTGTGGTTTTGGGCGGTCACTGAACTTCTCTGCCTCGATTTCCTTTAAAGAGGAGATAGTACTTAACGATCCTGCATACATCACAGGATTCTCAGCAAAGACCATGTGAAAACTCTTTGACAACTGCCAAGTGCTGAATCCCTGCCGGTGTTACTCTGACTGTGATGGTGGTTGAAATAGGAGAGCAGGAGAGTTAAGCTTTGGAAAGTTGTCACACACCTAGAAATCATCAATGAAGCCAAAACAAGGAGAAGGGCAAGAAGAGAGAGAGGCTGCAAGTCTGTGTCCCACAGGCAACATGCAAGAGGGATGGAGAAGGGTTTCTGCAGTCAGCAGGGCAATCTGCGGAGGGTCAGAAAGGGAGAGGCAGGGCTGCCGGCATCTGCAACAGCTTCGAGAAGTCACCTGGTTACATAGAAAGTAGCTCAAGTTGCCATTAGGAACATCCAGTGGAGAGTCTACAGTATTTAATAAATGAGACAGGTGTCATCGTTGCTATTCGTGACCGCCAGATTGTCCCAGAGTGCTTTAAAAGCATGTATATCTGCTTACTAAGCACTGACCCCCAAGATGTGCTGTCTCGTCTCTCAGTGAGGAAGACGTCATGTTGTGCCAGTATACTTTTCACCTCTTTTCCTCTGAACTATTTCCTGCATCTCTTTCCTGTTTACAGAACTACATCCTTTCTTCCAACGTTTTTCTGATCCTTTGCCTTCAATAGCGGCAACCTTTGACTTTTGCACACTGGGAAAAGACCTAGCCTAAAAACCTTAATTGCTAAACCTCACAGACTCAGCCCATGAAGTTGTGCGGACACTTGGAGCTTTTCTCCATCGCCCCCAAAATCAAACCCCTGCTCTGATTAAACACAGCAGGGTCAGGGAAGTGGGGTTTCCTATGTTGCTGCTTTTGAACTAGGATTTATGAGAGGGGGCTGATGTTTGGTTGAGCTTGCCATCAGAGGCACGGTGGGTAATTGGGATATTGGGTGTGTTCTGAAGCTTTGGCCCAGCTGCACGAACGTGAACTGTGTCTAGTGGGAGGATTATCCCTCTTTGTTCCTCTCGGGCTTTCCTGAGTCAGAGGAAGAGAAAGGCTGTTCAAGAGCCTACTTCTTTCTTATTATAAAATTTCTGCCCCACTTTTGGCAAAAGGAAGTGTATTCCAGAAAGTTCTAGGATTCATTTTGGTCTTTTGCTTTTGTTGTTCTTCTGATTTTAAAATAAAGAGTTTACATCTACACAGAGGACTTGTACACAAATGTTCATCACGGCATTATTCATAGTAGCCCAGACCTGCAAAGAACTCACATGACCATCACCTGAGAAGTGGACAAACAAATGCCGTAGGTACCCCCATGTGATGGAATACCACCCGACAACAGAGAGAACGGATATCAGCGTATACGCTACAGCAAGGATAAACCTCAAAAACATTAAGTGAAAGAAGCCAGATTTAAAAGGCCACGGTGTTTGATTCTATTTATGTGAAACTTCCAGAAAAGGCAAATCTACTCAGGCAGAAAGTAGCTCAGTGGTGGCTGGGGATGGGAAAGTGAGTGAGGGTTGACTGCAGATGGGCAATGAAGGGTGTTTTGGGGGTGATGGAAATGTTTTAAAACTGGATTGTGGTGATGGTTGCATGACTCTGTAAAGGCATTAAAATATATTGAATTGCTCACTTACGTGAGTGTATTTGATGGCATATATTATACCCCAAGACAGCAATTTAAAAAAATAGTAACACCTGGTCTACCCGAACAATGCAAACATTTAAGGATATATCATTTAGGAACTGAAAATCCTGGTTAATCGTCCCAGATACACATACTTTAATGATCTCAGTTATATTCTTTTAGATTTGTCTTTACAGCCACTAGCATGGATGTGCATGCTCACACTTTTTTAAAGAGAAAAGTTGCAGTTGTTCGGCATCTTTATTTTTCTGTAAACAGTAGGTTGCACTACGGGTCCTGGAATGTTTATTTAAGTACACGAGAGGTCCTGAGATCACAAAAGGCCTAGCATGAAGAACCAGGTCAGCCATGGTCAGCACCCAGCACCTCTCAGCTACTCTTCCTCCCTCCCTGAGAGAAGGTGGTATCAAGCCAGGGCCCAGAGAGAGATTTGTTTTCACAGGGCTTTCTTGATCTCCATAGTAAGGCTCCAAGGTCTCAAAACAAGGGTAGCAACTAGTCACAGGGGGGACGGTAACTAAGAAGTCAGTGAAGAATACAATGCCTTATTTTTTTTTCCCTCAAAGATCAAGGTAATGATTCAAATGCAAGTAATTAAAAATTAACTCTATTGTTATAGCTTTTGGTTCCTAAAAAACGTATTTTTAAAAAGCAAATGCAAGCCTGGGCAACATAGTGAGAGCCCATCTCCAAACAAATTTTAAAAGATTATCTAGGCGTGGTGGCACACACCTGAAATCTCAGCAATTTGAGAGGCCCAGGCAGGAGGATGCCTTGAGCTCAAGAGGTCAAGGCTGTAGTGAGCTATAATTGTGTCTGCACTCCTGCCTGGACGACAGAGCCAGACCATGACTCTAAAATAAATAAATAAATGTTTTTTAAAAAATAAAAGTAAATATGTTGCATCGCACACATTTGCTCTCTCCCCATCAGAGAAAGCATGTGAGGGCTGCCTCAGATGACCTGCTATGGACGTACCCGGGGGATTAGATCAGAACGATGGATTTGCAAGGGGAAAACATGGGAGGCTTTCTGCTCCTCGAATGAGCACCGGGGCTTTGCCACGAGTGCTGAGCTCCTGGGAAAATACCCCCACTGGCTTCTCAGTGTGCAGTGCTCATCCTCGGGGATTAAGAGAGAAGAGAGATTAAGAGGCCAGCATCCCTGCTTCTAATAAAGAGCCGGCCCTCTGAAAGAGCTGCGGACAGAAAGGAGTGTGAGCAGACGTCAGGAGGGCGGTGCCCAGGACCCCTGGGCCTCTGGCCCTCACAGCCTCGCCAATTGTGGGGCATGCTCTTGACATCTGACGCTGTAGGGTCCTGGAAGTCTCTTGAGGGCTATTTTGGAACTGACGTGGGTTGCGTGGAAGCTGACATAAATGGTCTGTTATTAAAGCTCACTAAAAATGCATTTGCGCCACGGCACAGTGGCTCACACTTGTCATCCCAGCACTCCAGGAGGCTGAGGTGGGAGGATTACTCCAGGCCAGGAGTTCAAGGTCAACCTGGACAACATGGCAAGGCCCTATCTCAAAAAAAAAAAAATTAATTAGCCAGGCATGGTGGCGCATACCTGTAGTCCCAGGTACTCAGGAAGCTGAGGTGGGAGGATCACTTGAACCCAGGAGTTTAGGTGACGGTGTGCTTTGACCACACCACTGTACTCCAGCCTGAGTGACACACTATCTCAAAAAAAAAAAAAGAAAAAGAAAAGAAAAGAAAAAAAGCATTTGGGACCTGGAAGACTTGGCTGGCATCAGAGCCTATCCCAGGAGCCAACAATAAAATAGGCACCTGCCTCTCCACGTGACTTCTCTCTCCACCCTCACCCTCAGAGGCTCCTTCCTGAAGGAGGCCACGAAGAGCTGATAGGGACTGTCATTTGCCAGTGATGACATCATAGGGCCCGTGGGAAAGACCATCCGTCTTCATGGGGTAGGCCTTCCAGCAGCCTCACCTCCAGCTGCCATGACAGGCACACCATCTGCTGACAAGTGTGTCTGTATCAGGTTGCACATTCCAGACCATTCACTGTTTGGAGTAGTTCATATTTGTCCACGAAGGTGTATATTTACCACTTATTCATGCAAATATTTATCGAGTAAGCGCTAAGCATAAGGCTTGACAGATACAAATATGACATCTATGGTTTGGATCCCCCAAGGAGCCAGCACTGCTAGCAAGGAGAGAGTAATGATTGTGACCAAGAGGTATGAATAATGAAGCAATGGGAATCCGTGGTGGGTGGAAGTGTGCCCCCTCTTTCCCCTCATCCCCCTCCAAAAATTGTGATGGAGTCCTATCCCCGATATGTCAGATTGTGATCTTACTTGGAGATCTTTAGGTAATCAGGTCAAATGAGGCCATTAGGGTGGGCCTAATCCAATATGGCTGTCCTGTGAAAGGGAAATGTGGCCATAGAGACAGGCATGCACGGAGGGAAGACCGTGGGAGGACACTGGGAAGAGATGGCCATCTGCAAGCCAAGGAGAGAGGCCTCGGGGGAAACCAACCCTGCCACACCTTGACTTTGGGCTTCTGACCTCTAAAACTGTGAGACAATTCCTGTTGTTCCAGCCACCCAGTCTGCCAAGCTTTGTTACAGCAATCCCAGGAAACTAACAGATGCAGTAGTGGGACTTCTGCCTAAAGTTGGAAGAGAGAAGAGGAATCCAGGCAGCTTCCTGGAGAAAGTCTCATTTGAATAGGCCTTGAAGGACTGCAGGATTTCTTACTGCAGCCGGGCATCCACCCTTCAGCCATCAGCTCAGGGAAGA